TAGCTGCTCAAGAGGAATATTGGAGTTGACATGCATTTCTTTAAACAAGATAGACATGCAAGTTTGATTTGCAGTGAGTACGAATAAACCCTGACTCATCGATTAAAATGAATAATGGCTTGAATCCAGGCAAACATACAGAGGGAAGTTGGTAAAAGGTCCATCTGGCATGTGGCTGGCTTCAGGTTAGCTGCTAAAGGTTAGCATTGAGCTAATCCTGCCTAAGGTAGACAAAACTTGGACCTCCTGAAAATATATTAACCAGACATTTGGAGTTAAAACACAGATTTACCATCTGAACTGGCTTTGCAGTAAGCTTACTAAATGAGCCCGGAGCGTGTGTTTTTTGTTGGAAATGGACATGTTTCCTACCTCCTCAGTTGTAAATAACACAGTGTTCCAAGAACATAAATAATAATGTCACTCAACCATGCCCCATTCTCATGTCCTCTGCTTGCTCTCACCACAGGCCTCTAGTACCGCTTAGCCAGGGGCCCTCAGCCTTGTGCTGCACCTTCACGCACTCACAATCAAGGAACAGCCATAAAAGCAAGTGCAATGCTTCTTCAGAGTCGGACAGTTGAGTGGTGCAAGGGCATAATCACAAACTAGAAGATTCATAATGGATGTTCTGGGAACACACATTAGTGGGCTCCCCATGTTCTTGCTAACAAAATACATCACACATGCACATGAGGAAATGTAAGTACAAATGTGTGCAGGCAAATGCTGCACACATGAACACACTGCACTTAGGGGCAGACAGTATTGATGGTTCCCTCGGGCATCACACGGACGCATCTGTTTCTGTCCCTCTGACTCTCCACACTCATAATTTCAAGTAAGTCATAACACAAATTATAAACACATATCCTTCAACCGTGACGCCTAGGAATAACAACATGGAGTGCGCTGAGCTGATTTAGTGTAGGCAAGGGCTCTTAAATCTTTACCTTCTCTCATTTTCTTCCCTCTTTCCCTCCGCATGCAGCACAGGTGGTAGTCACTCCTGTCAAGCACATACTTTTCTTTCTTATCTATTGCCTTCATCTCTTGCCATCTCTTTTTTATATATATTTTCTTGAGCAATTGGTTCTTCCTAACGTCCGCTTTCTTTGAAATTGCTTTGTGCAAATGAATACGTTTGTGTGTTTATGCTTACTCTTGACCCCATCTTAACCCTTTGTCCCCCAGAAATCTGTCTGACCTGCCAGTTTCCTATCTGCCCTGCCAGTTTCCTATCTGCCCTGTGACATCACAGTCCGTAGACAGCATGCAGCCCCGCCTCCAATAGGTCTTCATCAAAGTCTTCTCTCCTCATTTTTCATCCCTTTGTTCATAATTATCTCGTCCCGCCTGACGTTTCCTTACCCTTCTCTTATTCCAACTTTTTCATTTCACTTTTTCTTTCCATATGCTGACCCCTCTCCCCCCTCCCTCCTTTCCATCTCACCTCTCATCGCATGGTCATGTACTTTAGCCATCCATCTTCCACCTCTGCAGATCCAAATGTCTCAATATGTCCCAGGGACCATGAAGGTTCAATTGGAATCACATGTTGTAGTCGAGCTTAGAATTTCACCCCTTATAAATAAGATGTCAGTCCTACCTATGCTTTTTCCACAGAGGCTTGCATACCCTCTCTATAATAGTAATCGATATCACTAAGTAAATACTATGATTTACATACATGAATGCACAACTGTTTATGTAAACATTGTGTTTAATTGCCAGCTAAAATACCGTTATCTCATAGAAAGACTAAAGTAAGAACGATTTTTTAGACCAGATATCCAGCAGTGATTATGGGATTTATTTGTCTTTTTATTGGAGAACCTTATGACTTCTCAGTGCACGGGGTCTGACTTTTATGAAGACTAATTACAAGTTTGTCTTGAAAAACCATTTAATTTCTGCCCTTTCAATTCCGAAAGGAAATGGAGATAATCCTCTGTTTGTCTACAACACGCCAAGGCTAAGTTAAGCAGGGAGTGAGACAAGAGGGAGAGAAGGGAGAGGGTTCACCCACTCAAGCTCAAGATCAGCCAATAGATACAGGGCAAGCATTTGTCTTAGTTTGTGCGTGTATTTGTGTGTGTGTGTTTGTTTCTGTTTGTCTAAAAGATGAACCCTGTCTGCTAGATTCATGGACATTGCAGTGTGGACTAAAACTAAGGCCAAATGGCCACTCAAATTAGATGTGATTAAATACTCCAGTGTGATTCAGGCTCAAAGACTGTAAGTAATACTAATCAGCACACACACACACACACTCAACCACTGATTGAGGATGTGGAAGACAACATTTACAGGCTTGCTTATCATAATAATGCCCCGCTTTTATTGTTTTAGGAAGACATCACTCAGCAGAATCCTGCAGTACCACTAGGAGAGCATCCACAGAGAGACAGCTCTGTAATCGACTGTGTTAATTTAGAGCCTGGAAGTGATTTAGCCTGCACTGATGCATGGCAACCACTTTGGTTTGGGGGTTTAATTTAGTCGGTTTCACAACTGTCTCAGGGTCTATCAATCATTTTCATTTGGAAAGTCTGTACCTGTGCTAGGGAATGCAGGGGTGATGCAGAACACCTTTCCGTCATAAAAACACAACATACAGTAATTATTGTAGCTTCCTTGTAGAGGTCTGCAATTGCTACAATGCTAAATACAATGATTACATTGTCAGAATGTACAGAGGAGACTTGGCTTTCATGTTTTAGCTGTGGTTTGTTACACACTTCATTATTATCTTTTTTTAGTAAGTAATCAAACAGCCACATTGTGTCTGTCATCAATTCAGCATTTGATGAATGGGAGTGCAACAATCCCTCATGAAGTGACTAAGTTGTGGTCAGAAAAAGATGGATCTTTGTTTGGCTTTTTCAGAGGAGTTCACAGATTAGATAAACCTCCTCTCTAAAACCGGGGTGGGGGTTAGAGCCCCTAACCTTTCACCGCACTCTTTCATCAACCTATTTGACCCTGCACTTAATATCCCCTACTTACATTGTTGAAGTGTTCTAAAATAGTTTTCCATTTAAGTCTGCAGTTATTTGTTCTGCACTAAGAGTCACATCCTGACTTAGAAGCTTTCAGGTTATGTTAAAAAAAAATAGATTAGGGAAACATTTGAGACAATATATCCAAAGTTGGAATTTCCATGTCTAGCAGTGTGTACTAAAGATGGCCCACTGGCGAACAAGTTAAGGCTGTTAATCTGACACATTGTTTATGAACAGTGACACAGTGTGCCACATTCCTTGTCCATATATGTCTCTGTGCATCACCTCTTTAATTTATTTGACACAGCCAAAGATAAAAGAATGTAACATGGATTGCCACTGTGCCAATGCTCTTAAATGCAAAAATAATGATTTGTGTTTATCAGTCAGGGAAAGTAAGAATGGACTGTTGTTTCATTTGTTGATATATCAGTGGATTTCTTTAACAATAATTGGAGGCATTTTACATTATGAATGGCTAGCTCAAAGAGAATAGTCCTGTAGTCAAAAGCACTTGCTCTGGTTGAAGTAGGTCTGTGTGTCTGTGTGTAGGGTTTTGCGCATGTGTGGGTACGTGTATTCCCATTACACTGAGCATTACAAGGAATAACAGTGGAGGTGTAGAGGGGTGAAAAGTGTCACTTTGGCCCTGCTCTGTGATTAATGGTGTGATTAGCTGCTCCGATCCATCTCATAACCCACATGCATGCACGTGCAAATGCATGCACAACATACAAGCACACACAAACACAGAGGCCTTTTAATGGCCCTGGATGGGAGAATCCAGATGCGACATGCAGATAATTGTACTAAAAACACCAAATGTGGAGTCCCAGGCCGGCAGGACTTTATTCTGAGTTTGGCATGTTTATTTTCTCAATTCAGTTATTTCTGCAGGGACTTAAATCATGGAATAAAAACACTCCGATCCAGGTCAATTTTTAATTGAGTTCAAAGTGTATTTTGACTCCCTCCCTCCTCCTCTTACTTTACCCATCACCTCACACAAATCCAAACATTACCTTACCGTGTTGGTTTAATGCCTGCCTAATTTTAAATGTGGTTTCAGAGTCTGGAGTTCAGTCACGTCATTTTATCCAACTTAAAATAGCTTCAGTGTCTACAAACTAGTAAGACAGCTTGAGACTTCTTACAGTAGATGGTCATTCAGATAAACTTAGGCTGAAATCGGTTTTACAGGCCATTTTGTTATTTTTCAATCAATCAGTCAATAGCCATAGTACAGCAGTTGTGTGCATCTGGCTTTTTTTGCAAATGTGTTTGTGCTTGTGTGTTTACCAGAGAAGCCGTGTAAAATGTTTGTCACAACACAGGATTTAAAACATCCTGCTTGATGACGAGGATAGTCATCACCAAACTACTCCAAAGGCTTTTACGTCTGTTGTAGGGTTGCGCAAGACATCTCTTGAGTTAATGGTCTACATTTGTACGTCTGGTTGTGTGTATGATGAAGCCTTGTGGTATGTTTTCTCCCCACCTGTAGACAGTCATTTGTTACCAACCCCCTTGCCAACGCACACATGCACGCACACACACACACACACACACACACACACACACACACACACACACACACACACACACACACACACACACACACACACACACACATTGTGGTAACCAGCAGGGACAGAGGAAAGATGTCATATCCTCCTCAGCCTACTCTTTTATACTCCATTACACTATCACATGTCCATGAGTCACTCTGAGGGAACACTAATACAGCACTTAGCAAACCACTTCAAAGATGTCTGCTCATTTTCTGTGGAAGCTCCGTCTGAGTTTAAGAATCTCTGGATTGAGTGGGTTTGCTGTGACATCTGCCTACGGACAAAGGCCCATAGCTGCAGATTAAGGTGTATATTCTCTGACCATGAAACACCATTCTACAGTCCTTTTTTGGGGTAAAATACATGTTAACTGTTTTGTTTATCATCAATAACCATACTTTTTTCCTCTTCACTCTATTTCCCCATGTCCCGCTCTCATCGTCTCAGGCAGCAGGCTTTGCTGGCAGCCATCAGTGAGAAGGATGCAAACATCGCCCTGCTGGAGTTATCCTCTTCCAAACGGAAGAAATCTCAGGAGGAAGTGATGGCTCTGAAGAGGGAGAAAGACAGGCTCATGCACCAGCTCAAACAGCAGGTAAATCCACCGCTCGAGACCACCAATATATTTATATATGCATATAAACATTGAATTAAATGTACAGCTCCCCTTGTCTAAGAGCTTGATTGGTCTGCACATAAATCAAATGGAGCCTGGCCCTGCGGTCACTGTTTAGGACATGTGAATCAAAGCAGGACTACAAATTCAAACCTGCTGCAGATGATGAAGCCTTACCTGCACTTAAACACTGAAACAGCCTCATGGGCAGACTTTTGAACTGTGAAACCAGGAACAGATAGAGGTATATTCATTCCTGGTAGTTAACAGAGTGGACTTCCCAGCCTCCAACCACACTTACTGGTGTTCAGTCATCGTAAGCCAAACCAGTGAAGCAGGAGCTGTGACTCTCCTAACAATCATGTTGCAATCAGAGTGATTAGATGTACTCAAGATGCAGGCGTAGGTTGGTATCATTGATGATTCAACAGCAGACTTTTCTGTATTACATCTTCTGGTCAAACATTGACATTATTCCCAGCACACACTCACACACATGCTTACGCACCTATTTCCCATGTTGCCCTGGTTCTCAATATGACCAGAGGCTGATGAAGGTATGTGGGTCATTAAGGTCTGGTCAGACCACATCAGTGACTGAGCTAAAGTGAATGCTAACTATAATGAGCCAACAGCAGGGAGTCTGCATATACGGTCTACTAAGTCACGGGGGGCTTCTGGGAAACATGGTGCATTTAAAAGTCAACAGATGCAGTGGTTGTGTGTATTTGTATGCAGATCTTTGTTCGTGTCTCGTAAACAGTAAATAGTTCCTAGGGGGTGCAATTCCATCCGTGGAATTTCAAGGAAAGCCTATTATCTGTTGATCGCCATTGTATGCGTCATGTTTTCCCGTTGCAACCAGCAGTTACAGTCCACCTGTTGATGTGATGAGCTCTAATTGTAACGATGAAGCCTCCAGGCCTGGGGCAGAAAAGGGGAGAAGAGAAGAAGAAAAGAAAGGGATGTGAGACGAGAGGGATGGGCAGCATAAAGCTGCTTTCTCTCCTCTTTCCCATACATGCTAACCTGGTTTCTTGGAAAGTTTTCTGGCACACATGCATGAATCCATGTAATTGTTATTGCTTAGAAGGGTTGCACCAATATATTTGTATCTATGTATATATTTGTTACATTTTTGTTTAGAATGTTAGGAATGGCTTGAGTCAAGCCTTTTATTGCAGTTAATTGATTAAATATTGCTTTCAGATTGGTACTTGGTAATGGCCGATCCAGGTATCGTATCAGGAAGTAAAAAGTCGGATCAGTGCATCCCTATCTCTTTGTACGATGTGCCAAGGATTCATTGTTTTGGCCACCTAGTACCTGGGTCGAAATATTCAGAGACTTTATCATAACTTATTGTCGAAGAGGTTGTAAGGTAAGAAGCTCCTATAAGAAATATCTATTTGGTTTCTTTCCATTTTGACAGTGAGCTCCCTGGAGGTTTTGTTGTTCAACATGACATACATGGCATACTCTGTCTGCTGACCCATTGACACACATATCAGGATAGGTTGCCTTCCTAAGGTCCACAACAGCCAATGGCGGAAGGAAACTGATCAGGAAATGCCAAAGAATTACGGGACTCGGAGTCTCGTAGGAGAAAGCTGATCCGTAGACAGCAGATAGATTTTCAGATAGCAGTGCCCTGTCTGACCTCCTTTGGAAGATCTTGTGTGTGTGTGTGTGTGTGTGTGTGTGTGTGTGTGTGTGTGTGTGTGTGTGTGTGTGTGTGTGTGTGTGTGTGTGTGTGTGTGTGTGTGTGTGTGTGTGTGTGTGTGTGTGTGTGTGTGTGTGTGTGTGTGTGTGTGTGTGTGTGTTTGCAAAAAGCTGGCGGTCTAAGACAAACTTTTCTTTCTCGGACAGTTTGCTTCCCTTTGAGGCATACAGTAGGCCTTCTTCAGCACAGTATACAAATACACAGACACATGCATGAAGAGTGTAGTGTTTAGGCTTCCTGAGGAGAGAGTCAGAGCTAATCTGTCCCCATGCGGGAATTCTCTGAGTGTTCCCATCATAGTGATGGAGGGCTAAACGTGCTTTGAAGCTGAAAGATGGATTTGGCATCCTCAGAGGTGTGCCATTTTCTGGGACTTTTTCTTAATTTTTTCTCTCATTCTCCCTTTTTCTCTGTTTTTTTGGTCACTTGGGCATTTATACTCTCTCTCTGCTGAAAAGATGGATTTTTTTGTTTCAGAGGTGTGCCATTTTGCTCAGCTAATGTAAAACAACCCGCTTGCTTTGTCTGTGTTACTCTGTTTTACTGGGATAGCATGGCAACGCAGAAACACACACACAGATTTGATTAAAGGAGTATGTATACGTGTTGTGAATGGTGCGCAGCCTTTCCCCAGCAGCATGTGTGTTTAAGGCCTTTTTTTGTCAGCCTCATGCCTCCATATGTGTTAATGCAGCTCTGCTCTAATCAGGACAGGCTTTTGATTTATTGACGGCTTGGATCGAGGTTTGGGATGCAGCTGTGAGCACAGCAGCGGGATCATCACTGCCATGTTTACACCAGCAGCTACACTTTGATACACATGCAGAGGAACCTCACGCACACACATAGTACAGTTCAAATCTGTTATGGTTGGGGATGTCAATGAAAAACTCTCCTCTCCCAGCAGTGCCACCTGTGACTATTCCAGGATCTACAGTACAAGTAGGCCTGGAGGTCATTACTGAGCTGTTTACTCTGCAAAGGCCATAATTAACACTAATTAAAACACACACATTCCACCACACAGTCATTTTATATGTGCACACCTCCGCACATGCACAACGGAACATGTCTGTACAAAAGTATGAGATGTGTGTGTGTGTGTGTGTGTGTGTGTGTGTGTGTGTGTGTGTGTGTGTGTGTGTGTGTGTGTGTGTGTGTGTGTGTGTGTGTGAGAGTGTGTGTAAGTATGTGTGTCTGTTTGAATAAACTAGATGGCCACATGTGGGCTATCGTGACCACACAGTCAGTTTCTTCCAGAAGCAATTCATCACTTCATTCATTAATGTTTTTGTCTCAGGTCATTAAATGTACATGTGCACACACACGTGCACACACACACACACACACACACACACACACACACACACACACACACACACACACACACACACACACACACACACATAGAGAGACATTTGGCTTCCCTTCCTACACATTTTTTTTGTAATTAGATGGCCGGAACAAGTTGTAGTTTTTTAAAATTAGATTAGCATTGAGGACTAAGCACACATTTGCCCTTCTTACCATTGACTATATAGCAACGTTTTGAATATAATTATCAATTAAAATTCAACATAATTGTTAACATTGTGAGCCCCTAGAGCATGTACTGTGTAGCAGTAATTACATCAGCTGCATGGTATATGATAGTAATTGTCCTGGCTGTAATGACAGATCTCAGCCCTGTAACTGTTGCATTGAGTCAAGCCCCACCCAGTCACACCTGCTAGTGTCAACACCTGAGGTCACGGAGGGCCGTACACCTCAACCTAGCCTTTAACTGCTCTAACCACTGGTCTGGTGTTTGTCTGGGCCCTCCTCCATCCCTCACTCTTCATCTTTATCTCTGTCTCTCTCTTTCCCTCTCACCACTGTGTCACTGTTCTCGCCTTATCTGAGCAGCTCTTCTCCAAGTTAAGCTAATTGCTAACCTCTTTAATGCCAGCCACATCCTCTCCTGTGATCCTGACTGGCTCGTTTCCTCAATCATTTAGGCCTCAGCTCCTTATCTCAGCAGTGATGTCCCCAGGCCGCTGACTACTGTAATACCATCTCCCTCCTATCCTTCAGCTGACTCAGACTTTTTTTCTCTTCCTGCCATGGCTGTCTCTCATTTGAAAAAAGGAAAGCAGCAACATTTTGGATTTCGACATGTGTGCATGTCTTTCCTTGGAATCATCTTCATTCCATACACAATCCAACCTCCCGCTCTGCAGTCGTGTACGCCCTCAGGGGAAGTATCTGGGAATAAAGCTGAGCCTGTCAATGTATCTGCACCCACTCAGTCACGGTCTATCTTTTAGACAGCTGGCCTCAATGGACTTAGGCTGATTGTTAACGTTAGTCAGCCTCGGCTGTTATCTCCTTCCAAAGCAGTGATGTTGGCAGTATGACAGCTTCTTCCACAAACGCTCACACAAATACACACAGTTGCACAATACAAAACAAAGGACACATAGTCTTGCTTACCCATTTACAGGCGTTCCAAAAAATATACATATTTGTGTGTAATTTTAATCAATGACATCTAAAAGGAGGTTGCTTCACCCAAGCCAGAAAGCCTGTGGGCTACATGAAACACTCAGTAACTGTTCTTACTAGGATTCGTCTAATCCAATTAAACTATAATCTGCAATATGGATGACATTTGACAGACTTCATCAGGCACTCCGACTCACTCAATTTATGACCTGTCAAGTGTTGTTAGCGGCACTGTTTTTATCATCTTTGATGGCTTTCGACATGCTTCGCCGCCATCCAAGAATCCCTCAGCCTAATCATTCTAAGACCCAAAGAACATTTTTACGAAACAAATAAGCAGTGTTGGAGAAATGAATGTTTTATAATTGTGGGTTATACATTTTTCTTTTCTATCTCCTTTTTTTTGGCAGACTCAGAGCAGAATGAAGCTGATAGCGGATAACTATGAGGAAGATCACATCCACCCCCAGCATCATCCTCACCATTCTCACCATATGCATCCAGCCAACGTGCATCACCGAAGCCTGCCAAGAGGGCCCCCCCATGCCAATCACCGACCCCCTATGGACCAGGTCAATATGAATGTGCACAAACTCACAGACACACACTCACACACCAGACAGTTTGGACCTGTTTACACAAGCTTATATGTGGTAGGCTTTCATCTTCATGCTTTTAAAGTTAGAGCAATTTTATTTGTCATCTCCATCACGAGTCAGTTGTGGTTGGACTGAGCAGCCTAAAATTTCCCCTCTCACTTCTCCTGTGTCTCTTCTCCTTCAACCCCGATACTTCCTGCCAAGTTAGAGTTATTCATATCATTAAGATAAGGGGCCTGAAGGGAAAATCTGCCAAATGAATGTTTTTGATCGATGGGATTTGTGTGTGAGATTAGTTTATGTATCATTCATCTCTTATATGAGCTGCCTCTCTCTGTGTATCATATCCAGACTACCCTGAGGGACAAACTTAATGTGTCAATTTGAGGAGCGCTAAGGAAGAAGCACAAACTGCTGTTGTTATTAGCATAGTGTTGGTGTGTGTGTGTGCGTACATCCAAGTGTGCATACTGTAGACGTGTGCATGCCTGTGTGTGTTTGTGTAAATGCACATGGCGGTGCACACCTGATTCTTTGTTGATACTATGTACTCAGATGAAATCCCTACCGGGGGAAAGTACTCTTCAAAGAAAGACAGATATGATTTAACCCCATTAGCTGATTACATCTTCTAGTTATTTGAATGGAAAATAAACTCATCACAGCTCTATTGTTGTCATGACGTTGTGATTGGGGATTTTCCAAAATTACCAAAACGAAGTGTGTTTGTGTATGTATGTTTGGGGATTGAAGATGAATACCTGGGGATTTCCACCTGAGTATAAATGTGAACATCTGTTCCATCTAATATGCACCATAACACGTTTCTAGACGTTATGTTGCTGACACTGCTGCTCAATGAAATTCAAACATGCACTGGGGATCCCCTGTCCTAAACACATCCTTATACACGCACATGCATACAAGCACACAATGATGTACTTGCATCAACCCACACATTTCTCGACAATATTTAAACTAGAATAGGATAGCTGGTTTTAAATATATTTTAGCCTTTAACCCCTATAGAATAGACTCTATTTTGTATTCTTAAATGCTAAGGTCTGTGGTTGATATATGCACATTTTTCACTCACAATCTCACGCAGTACTGTATATTTATTTGAACATTTTGCATCATCTAACCAGGAACACTTTTAAATTCAAATTGTGCTGTCATTTGGTTATGCTATGATGTGCTTTTGAACCGACTTGACAAATTGATTGGCAAGCTTTAAGGTCCCTGCATTGTACTAAGGTATTGCAGAATAGTTTGCAACCATGGCAGGCTTCATACTAAACAGTGAGCTGCAGGGGGGGTCACTGTTTTGTTCACATTCCTTATTGATGTCTTTCCTTCAATATGGCTACCCAACACTGTTTTACTGTGGCAGTGTTAATAGTTAAAAAGTAGCTCTCTGCAAGTGAAGAGTGTTCGTTTCTGGGAAGTCTTGTTAAGAATGTAGAGAATAACAAAAATAACTCATAAATCCAGGCTTATTGGTTGAATTATACTATCTAATAAAGTTGAATGTTTAAGTTTTTTCTCGCTCGCTCTCCTTTTTGTGCCAAGCACACACACTTCAAAAACAACGGACAGCGTTGACAGAGGTCAGCCAATCACCTCTTGGCTTTTCCTTATATCTGATCTTTGACCTTAATAGGGAAGTTCGGCCGAGGTCAGGGTGTGTGTGTGTGTGTGTGTGTGTGTGTGTGTGTGTGTGTGTGTGTGTGTGTGTGTGTGTGTGTGTGTGTGTGTGTGTGTGTGTGTGTGTGTGTGTGTGTGTGTGTGTGTGTGTGTGCTGCTGATGGGGGTTGTCAGGTCACACAGTCTGGATGTCACTGAAGTCCCTGTTGTGAGACTGTTTTCCCTCCAAACACAGGACTCCTTTAATCTCCCTCTTTCAAATGTGATGAATTACTCCATTTGTTTTTTCTTGAACACTTTGTTCTTATGCTTTCATTATTTCTGTCACTTACCTCTTCTTCACTATACTTTAACCACTCTTTTATTTGTTCCCATTTGTTTATTCCTCTACCCACATTCTTCCCTCTATACCTCTGCTGTCCCTTTCATTATTCGTTCTTCAGTCCTTTCTCCCTCCATCTATCCCATTTCGAATGCAATATGCAAGTGTCGTAAGTGCATTGCCTGGTCTACGAACACCACTGGAAAGAGGATTGAGGATGATAATGATGATAAAGAGGGTCTGCACGCTCAACCTAGAGACCACAATGCCTTTCCAAGATACAGCTAGTGCCATGAAAAACATATCAGTGACCACAGTTGCCTTTTTCCGCATTTGCATATGCATTTGCTCAAACAGACGCATCCACACCGCATCCACACCCAAATGGCACATTTAAGACACGTAAGCACAAATGTATGCGCTGGAAAAGTGGACACACAAACGCAAGAACACATTTCAAGGTCTTTAAAGCGGCCAAACCGCAAATCAAGCCCATTGCTATGGTTAGTTGGTCCATCTCAATCCTCTTACTATACTCCCTGTCCTTCATTTGTTTTTGATGGACTTCATGTGAGGACAGGTGAAACCTAATCAAAAGAGACAAGCACAGGAAGTGGATTTAGCTTCTTAAAATGAACACCAGGTCTGTGTCTCAGCATGGATTGTGTGCAGTTTGACGGGCATGTTGTGTTCATGTTGTTCCCATTTAGCCATGCCAGTAACGCTGCCAGATATTTGGCAGCAGCCTCAGAAGGAAATAGAAAACAGCAAGTGTTTATCAGAGAAAGAATTATACAACCTTTTCTCTTTGGTTGTTTTTTTTCTCAAAGCCTTAACATGCTGCCTGCTACAGGTTTATGAGGTATTTTGCCTGTGTGTGTGTGTGTGTGTGTGTGTGTGTGTGTGTGTGTGTGTGTGTGTGTGTGTGTGTGTGTGTGTGCGCGTGCATGCGCGCGTGCGTGGACTGCGCGTGCGTGTGCGTGTAACCTGGCAGAATGAGTGGTCATATGCCTGGCTCTGTTTACAGGGCCTGTCACAGCCATTCACTGCATCTTAGCATTTACCATCTAGCATGTTCCATTCAAAGGCCATTATATCTATAGCTTAGCTGCTTAGGTGTAGCCTCCTGAGTTTACCGAGCTTGTCACAACCACTCAGTCCAACCAAAGCCGCTGTGGACTGCAGCCAAGGTCCTTGTGTTTTTTACTCTTGTGTAGCATGGACTGTCCTTTACCGTAGCTTAGTTTAGCATTATTCAGGCAAGGGCTTGGTTACTTGGTTATAGTGAGCTGCCAGCTCGTGCTAACCATTGTAATGTTAGTGTCTGAGTGAATTACCCTTCTTGTTAGCAGGGCTCTTGTCTGCACAGTTTCAGCCCCAAGGAAACCCCTTGTGTGTTTAGTTATTGGTTCCTGACAATCACACTGAGGAAAGCATTTTATGATATCACACACAACTTTTTTTGAATGAGGAACATGAACAGGACTGTTTTGATTAAAAGCCACAGGGGGTTTGGAGGGCCATAGCTTTAGGCAAGGAGACTCTACTTATAAAGACATAACCACTAGGCCAGAGTTTGTACAGTAAATGGTAATGATGATGACTTCTTTTCACATGTTTTTCTCACAGGACGATGAAGAGGGAATATGGGCATGATCACCATCACCATGGAAACCCTGCATCCAATTATCCACAGTGAGTTTTCTGTTGCACAGCTTTTGTAAAAATGTTCTGCTAATTTTAGAGTTAATGCACTTCTTGCCAGGGTGTAATTCTGTATATCAGCTGCAGATATTTTAATGGTCTTCTACACAAAAGGGTTCTTTAGTGAGCTCAAGTAACCATTAGCCGGGAACACTGATGGCACCACAATAACCACAGTATTACCCAACTCTGACAGAAGAAAGTGTAATAGAACCCGGCTCCTTTTCCCATTGCTTATGAATTTCAGTTGAATAAAGGGCCTCAGTTGATTCAGAGGTTTATGGCTGCCTTTCTATAAGTGCTACAGTACTAATGTCCATATGCTGGTTGTGCCTCATGCTGTGTGTGCACTCTGTGGCTATACAGGTAACTGTGTGGTATTCGACCAATACAAACTCAACTGCCCCGCGTACCACGGCCCGTAGGTGATAAAAACGACAGTGAGAAAAAACAGAGATGGACAAGTCTGTCCTCCCCGCCTCACTTTTTCAGGCGTAGTAAAGTTTAACCGTGCTACCCCACCCTGTTTTGTGCCAGTGTGTGGGGTAGTTAATTACAATACAACACAGAGCAGTCATGAAGCTTTTTTTTTTTAAGGCTGCAAGCTGAAAAAGCATAAAATGAAGAATGCAGAGTCATAAAGGATAATTCCTGTTTTGGGGTTTTTATATCGAAGCCCCCCATAGACTCAGGATGCCTTTGAACGTATGCGTGTGGAAAGAGGTCTGTTCAGAGGGGGGTGATTGTTTTCTTGGAGCAAATGCATGTGTGAGTGAGACAAAGACAGACAGGAGGGAAAAAAAGAGAGATTTATAAATGTACATCTGAGAGACAGAGAAAAAGAGATGCTTATGTATTTGTGTGGGAATTAGAGAAAACCAGGCAGCATGGTATACTCATACTTTCCAGTGCATCTCATTCTTTTCCCCCAGTAATCCACAGGTGGACCATCACAAGCAGACTCTGTCTCTAACCTCAATGACTTAGTAGTGGTGCACTTTGCCCTACTGCTGCTTTTGGGATTAAGAGTCCTATAGCTTGTGTGTGAGCAAATGGTTTATGTGCAGTGTAAAGCTTTGGTGTGTTTAGCTATGATGTTTGTGTGTGCATTTGAATGTCTGTGTGTGTATGTGTGTGCAAGAGAGCGTTGCTGAGCTATACTGTGCCGGAGCAGCCCACATTGCCTATAATCCAGTCCATGTGTGCTGAGAATGCAGCAGTGTCAGGATTCACCGTAATGAAACAGACCACACTGCCCCCTTTCTCCCTCTCTTTCCATCCCTCCATCTTTTTCCATCACTCCGGTTCTTTCCACCTCTCCCCAGATTTAAGCTTGCCCTGCTCTAACATTATTCTCCTTCAAGGTAAACCTAGAGCTGGACCCGTGACTCGCCTACTGCTTCGGTATCTTCAATCAGATATCGTGATGGCGTGTGTATGCACGTGTCTGCGTATTAGTACTTCTTATCCCGATCTAATAGAATAAGCCAGGCACATTAGCCTTTAGCACAAAATGGTGTTGTGGCTAGCGATATCAGTCCTGCTCATCTATCCACTGCTGTTATTCTGGCAGTTTACAATACGAGCGCGGCTAACGTGTATTAGCCATTCTCAATGGGAGAACAGATGGGAGCCATTTAGCGGTGTGTAGCTACAGCGCAATAAGGCCAGACCTAATCCCCATATCCTGTCCCTGAGTGAGCCCTCCTTAATATGAGCAAACATAGAGGACAGCAGCGCTAGACATATAGCCGGGGATCTGTGAGTATGTGTGTGTATCAGTGTCTTTGCAGGCATGCATGCTTTGATTGGTGTGTCTTATGGATAACCTTGACTCCCAGTGCTAGGCTACATTCTGAATGCCACACAATGTTGAGTTTGAGTTCCGGGTGTGGATATGTATTGGTCATGCATAGTTCCAACTAAAAGGACACTGCGCTCTGATTGGCCCATTGTGGTTGTGTATGTCCTGCTGTTGATTACAGAGGTTTTGTTTACCCTCTTGGCCTCCCAGACCCCCCCGTACTAATGAAATAAGAATGTCTTTTTGGACAGAGAGCACAAGAAAAGGGGGTTGGAGGAAAAAGTGAAGGAGAACATGGGGCCAACAGAGTGAAGCAAAGTGGGGGGAAGAGGTTTTCTGGAAACATTATGCTTTTATCCCACCGTGAAGTTATTTGTACTGAATGAAGCGAAAAGAAGCTGAGAGGCTTTCCAAGTGGGGACAGAAATATGCTTGTGTGTTTGTGTGTGTGTGTTTGTGTGAGTGTGTTAGTGTGTGTTGGAACAGGAAGGAGAGAGGCCTTGTTCAGGTTAAAACAAGTCAAGAAGATGGCTTTCATTGGTCCATGCTGTGTTTGCACTGAATACAGTGTTTGTATATCTACATTGTTTATGCCAGTAAGTATCCCACTCTTGTGAATGCACAGCTTAAGCAAGTCTAGAAAAAGGAGTCTAAATTCATTGGCAAACTGAAATTAGCCTGCAGATTCTCAAACTCATTTGTGATTCCGAAATACAAATAGTTAGTAGAAGTGACATGTTTATGCTTGTCTCTTTTTTGCTATATCCTGATTAATCATGTCCAATGGCTCGTTGCAACCAAAACGTACTTCAAAGCTGGTTTAATTATGGGTTCCAAAGTCAATGGTCATTTTAATGTAACTTCTTCTTGCAATAAATCTCAGACTTGCCTGGAGATAATGTATTAATATAATCAATAGTGAATAGAATTGATATTGAAAAATAAGTTGTCAGTATTGATTGTGAAATGAGATAACCTTTCAGTGTCTACAATGTTATTATTCCGATGAAAGCAGTTTTCAGTTTAGACACGCCTGTCTGTTAATGTCACCGTGTTCACATTCCTTTTAACAATAATCAAAATGCCATTAAATTTAATTCAAGGTTGGCTCTGAAATAAAAGTATTGCAGCAGAATCGTAAACAGTTGAGCCAGCTCTGCCACTTTTTCTTGCCAGGATGAAAGTGTAAACAACTATCATCCCACTATTTAAATACTGAACGCTAACGGCACATATTTTAATAGGGCTCCTGAAGAAATACCTGCCCCATTTAATCAACACCTAGTAAGCGTTGATAAACAAATACATTGGTTTCACTCTGGATTGTCTAGACATTCAGCAGTGAATGCAAGCAAGTTATTTGTCTTTTTTTTATATTCTCTGTGTATGTGTGATCGTGTGAAAACATGTGCACATCTACACACATACTTGCATGTTCATTATCATCGGGTAATGTTTGGGTATGCATCTCCTCACACATGTGTGTAGTCGTGCTGTGCAGTATTCCTTTGGTGACCAATGAACCGCAGCCGGCAGGTCAGTAGAGGCGTCTGACCGAGGCCATCCCTCAGCCAGCTGTCAGCATCATCAGTTTGTGAGGTCAAAGGTTGTTCCACCAGATTGAACATGAGTGGAGAGAAGTCAATAACTCAGCCACACCTGAGCAACAACATCTAAGTCTGCTGTATCTTGTATCTATTTCAGTCCATCCTGAGAGGTGTCCAAAACAACACCTGAATTAGTTTCCAAAGGGCCCTTTTTCTTGTGAAGGTGCATCGTGCTATACTGTACTGTAGGTCTTTATTTATTTAGGCCCATGGATCTGATAGCACACAGCTCTAAGACTAATGGGAGCAGGTAACTTGTACAGAAGCTTTTATATGTTTAGAAAATCCCATTATCAGTTCCTGTAGTAAGGGCAGGAATGTTGCCTTTTGCAGTTAGTTGGAAAACCCTGTTTGTGAAAGGAAGAAATGTGTTTGGCGTGAGACAGAAGCCTAATCACATTGAATATTTGCTTAGTGTATTCATGTTGCGGCATGATGATTAATTTGATAATGATGTAGTGCTGTTTAAAAATGCCACACAAACTATTACCCTAAAGTAGGTGTATGAAAAGCGGTGATAGAGTTGCTTTGTCAATGTCGGTATCTGAAGCTGCAGACAGACAGGACCCAGAGAAGCATCTTCAGACCCAGCAGAGTGGGAGGAGGAGGAGGAGGAGGAGGAGGTGGGGAAGGATGTATGAGGAAAAGAAGGGCTGCCAATGTTTTGAGGCAGACAAGTTTATTCATGCTTTTTATGTGGCTTTCTTGAAGTTCTAGTCAGGAGAGGACAGTTAGACACCTGATGTGTGGATCATAGGGCGGTTTGTCTGAGTACGCTCCCATTCCCCACCCACAACACACTCATTACAAATACCAAGACTTGGCCACACACACAACTGCTCGTGCGAATCTGCAGGGAAAGATGTTAAGGTTTTGTCATTTGAGTTCTCGAGGAGAATCCTACCTATTCAGTGCTGGTGCTATTTGATGTGGTCATCTTATCAAAATGAATCTAAACGTTCCTGTTTGGGCCACCTACAGTAGTAGACTAAGGGAGGCACCAATAAACAGCTTGGCAGTCAGTCAGTGTGTACTGGCTGCTGTCAGCTGGAGAGATGATAACAGTTATGCAGAGAACTGTCCTCTAGCACTGTTTTCAAAAGTGGTAAGCCATTCTCTCATCCAAGCCAACCAAGTGGGACCAGCATGGGATTTGTCCGACTTGCAGCAACAGTGGGACATGAGCCTAGACATTATGAATGGTCATGCTGTCCACTGACCCAAGGGTTCTTCAGTTGCACTTTTTAAAATGAGTTTTTCTTTAATATTCTTTAAGGATTGCATTTTATTAGCAGTTTAGTTCCAGTTTTATTTTGTGGGGTATTATCTTTTAGGTACATTAAAGGTAAACATTTAACAATAAATGTAAAAGATAACTCAAGCGTGTCTATGGACCTTTTGAAGATTTATATTTCATACAGTCTTGTGGAGATGCCCAACAAATAGTCTCAGTGTGGCCGGTCTTTCTTTTTAAACTGTGCACTGAGTGCTCTGACCTCACTTGCTTTATTAAAGCATTGTGCTTCAATGATGTAGTTAAGTGTTTTTCCCAGTCGATGTTGTTGGGGGTTTTCAGTTCA